GAACCTCTAGATTGGGACATGCTTTGTTGATATTCTCCAAGTAGGACACTTAAAAAAACTCGGTGAAGCCCCCTGGTGGGTCAGTGCCATGTTGGGGTTTCCCACTAGTCTGTTCTTGGAATGCAGGACTGAAGAGATGAAGGGAATGCCCCCAAAGTTCAGTGAGGTGCTTTCTGGATATGAGGAAAACAACATCCACTTTTAAGTTGGATTTTGAGAAACCTGGGAGGGGACTTTGTTAGCACAAGCATTAAAGTTTTATCACCAGAGAAAATGTCACCAAAATCTCAAGAGGTTTTTCTTTTCTTTCTTTTTTTCTCTTTCTTTCTTTCTTTCTTTCTTTTTTTTTTTTTTTTTGCCTCAATTAATGCTTTTGGTTACCCCTGAAAATATCATAACCAGCCTGAGTTAAGAAAGGCAGCTCTCTTGTGTCCTGAGGTTTTGCAGGTGTGTGTCAGGGGACAGAAGAAGGGTGCCTGAGTTTCCAGGATATCAGGCACCCTTTCCTTACATACAAAAACAGAATTTTACATTGAATGAGGAAAAGACTAGCAGGAATTTTTTTTCCACCAATGTCTCCTGTTGAGAAGGGGGTTCTTAGCAAGGGTATGTAAATTAATACCGAGTTATTTCTTTGAATTCAAAGGCTATTTATCCAGGTCTAATTTCTTTAGAATTAACGTGATAACTGAGCCCAACTTAGCAACCAAACCCAGCCAAGTCCTGGCCGGCTTGAATGTACTTCCACTTCCCCCCACCAAGGCTACAAACCCACCTCGGGCATCCAGGCATTCCCAGGCCTACAAGTGTGCGCAAATACCAGTTTAGAACTGGATAGCGGGGTTTCTCAGACCCAGTGAGGACATTCCTCTAACAGTGGCCTTTGGCAGACAGATCAAGCGGTCTTGTGTTGGCAATACGCAAGTATTTTTCTCCCAGTGACACTGACAGCTACAATACAAACCCCAACACCTCCACACCTTAAAGAGCAAAATGCAATTGAGGCCTTAAATTCTGCTTCTTAAAACTTTATGGAATTTGACCCTCACCTGGGCCCTAAAAGAGCCCTTAGGTCTGGACTCCACAATGTTGGATTTCCTTCTATTTTGAATGATAAAGGTTTCGCTCGCCTGAGCTGCCCTCCTCCTCCCCAGGGTTGGCTAGGGCTCCGGGCGGGCAAGACAAAGAGGAGCGGACTTCCCTGGCGGCGAACCCGGCGCTGGGGCCCCGGAGTCCCTGAGGTGTGTGCCTTTTTGCCAGGCTCTGGGGAGGGGGAGGCGGGGGAGAGAAAAAGAAGGGGGGGGGGGGACAAAACGACAACAACAACAACAACACCTTTTAGTTTCTTATAGGAGGGCTGAAGGTGCGGGCTGGACAGGGCAAACCAGAGGTAATTCCAACTGCCTCGCTTCGCCTCATTACCGCTGCCCATGACACAGGGCTAAGAACTGGGAAGCAAGCGGCCGGCTTCGATGGAACAGAAATGACCGCCGGGAGCGATTTCTCAGTCTCTGCCTGCTTAACTCTGCGCGGTCGCCGGTGGCAGAGGCCATGTGTGGCAGCCTTACAGAGCGCGCCAAGGCTGCTTGGGGACACACCAGTTCTCCCTCTCTTATGCCCAAGACTGGCGGGAAAATCGGACGGTCAAGTCTGAAATTTGGATTCTATCCCGCCAGCGCACACTGAGACCGCTATGAAGCCTGGAGGGATCCCTTGTTCCCCCCGTAACTGCCTCTGCGCCTGACTCTCTCAGAGCCTAGCCAGGGCCCCCTAGCAGGTTTCAGCAGGACCTTTATCACACACAACTATTACCCAGGTGCAGCTACACACTTGTATCTCTGCTACCGAGTGAAGGGATTTTATCCATACCTCGTGGAAGAGGGATAAAAGTTCTTAAGCTACAACCCAGAAGGACAATTCCAGACTGCCCGGGTTTTCTCAGGCATTAAATAAACCAGAAAGGGGGAGGGGGTATCCTTTTGCAAATAGACAGCTGCAGTGCTCTAGGTCTGGTGCTCAAGTGCGGGGACCTGGGCCCCGCCAAGATCCATCCCGCTCGGGATGCCGTCAGAGTTGTGCACCTGCGAGCATAAAGGGAGAGACCTAGACAAGCTCTTGGGGAAAAACGCCTTCACCGCATTCACAGCAAGCTGTAGGGTATAAAGCAATAAAACTGCCACATCGACCTGCGGGCTTTGAGGATATTACAAACTAGCTCGCCTTTTAGCCCGGGTGCCCCAAGAGCGCACCAGGAGTAGGTGGAGAGAACCCTTTCTTTCCCTGACCTCTCTTTCTGTCCCCCCACCACTATCCAGGCATTTCCCCCTTACCCAACCCACCTTTCATTTTTCTTCAAGATTTGTGATGTTGTTGTTTTAATTCAATGCCGACTTGTAAATGCATGGATCGGGTTACTGGTTCGTGTGTTAAAGTGCACCTCTTGTTAAGAGGAAAGGGACAAGGGACACCACTTAAAAATGAATTCAGAGTTACTGAACCGGCTCCCGAGACTCAAGAAGTTAAGCACAGCGGCTGGGGAAAGATGGGAGGGAGGAGAGCAGATGTCGCTGTCCTGGGAACTCTGGTGGAAACCCGCGGACAGCAAGTTTCAGGTCTTCGGATAAATTAAAGGAAAGAAAGAAAAAAGAAAGGAGGGGTGGAGGGAGGAAAACGCGCCTGGCAAAGCCTGCAGACCCGGGGCTGGAAGCGGGAAAATCAATTAGCATAAGCCGCTGACAGGGACCTTTGCAAAACGCTTAAATAGAGTCCAAGCAGCTCCGTCTGCAGCGACCCTTTTTCTGGAGTTGCAGGGGCAAGCGGCACCACTAAATTCTCCATTTCTCTGGTTTCTTGGGACCCATAACATATGGGGTATAGGCGAAGTCGGATGCAACGAAGTTTCCAGTAGTTTTCCCAAAGGCATGTTCGTCCTCACAACCTCCAGACACGACGACACAGAGGGTTGTTAGATTGCATATTTCTCCGGGAGTTCAACGGCTTAGGTATTGGCTCAGACCAGACCGAAAACCAACACCAAGGCCTGCGGGGGGGTCTGTAGGTCTGGCCCACCCAGTCTGGATCTTCTGGTAGTACCGGCACCTAGAGCCTACCAGCAGTCCCGGGACCAGGACTCTGAAACGGACGGCTAGCCCTCCTTGGCGCCTAGAGCCATGTTCGGTTCTCTTACCTGGTAGCCGGGCCTGAGCTGCGCGTCTGTGTTCCGCTGTCTGTGCCTGGCTGCCTGGGCCCAAGTGGGTCTGGAGACCGGAGGGGAAAAGGCTAGATCCGCAGCCCTGGGCTGCTCCAAACTTAATGTCTTTCCCCAGTCCATCTTTGAAAGAGAAGTGGTTCTACCACCTGGATGTGCGGATATAAATCCCCTTGCAAATAATAAATGGATTAATAATAACAAGGTATGAAGTTCTTTTTATAGAAAAAAAGGAGAGAATTGAAACTAAATGCGGCAGTTAGACAACCATTTTGATAAGAGGATAATTGAGGCGACACTGGTGTATAATTAGAGGATAATTTATGCTATATCCACTTTTATTCCACCTCCCAAAATAAACCCAGTCCATAATCATTACAGGCAAATTGTTCTGAATTTTATAGCAGCAATTTGAACAAAGTACTGCAGTTAATCATGGGAGATTTTTGTGTATTCCTGATTAGAACTCTAATTGCCTCCTTCCAGAAAGTAAAAATAACTGTAAAACGACTCTATTTTTATCATTAACAATGTTGACAATAAAATAAAATCAATTGGAATTGTAATCGAGAGACAAATTTAGGACGAAGGCACTTTTACTTGGGTAGTTTATATTGTAATCAAGATTTGCCAAACCACTAACCGCATGTATCATTTGCATATATTTGAAAGCATTACAGTAGCTTCTGTTTTCAATAGGAAAAAATGCATTACTGTCAGTCCTCCAACGATTCGCTTTCAAAACAGGCTGCTGCGTTCTGGGGGGAAAAACCGCCCCCCACTTTTTTTGTCCAATATATGGGAAATACGGCCTGAAACGACAGGAACCTCGCCAGAATAGGGTTTGATTTTTCTTTTTCTTTGCCACCACCCCCAACGGGGTGGGGCCCAGGTGTGGGGGTTCTTCTTCCCTCTGTGGTTTCGATAAAGTACGTCTAGAAAAATCCACGGTGACAGGGCGCTCCCGCGGGAGTGTAGTCTGGCTGAGGCTGGGTGGGGGAGGTCAAGGGAGGGGGTCTGGCTTTAAATGTAAGGGGCACTGCTTCTGAACACTTGCAAGCCCTCAAGGGTGCAAGGGAATTGAGAGAGAGCAGTCTCTAGGCAGGCTGTTCAAAGGCTGCGATACTCAAAACTGGGGCTCCAGGATTTGGGGCACGCGCTTCGGAGGGAAGCGGCGGCGGCGGCGGCGGCGGCGGCGGGCCGGGAGGAGGCACCTCCCTCCCGGGCGGCCCCGGGTGCCGCGCAGCGCGGCCCCCGGCTGCAGCTCCGGGTTGGGATTGGAGTTGCAGAAGGTAGGCGAAGAACTCGGCGAGCAGCGCACACGCCAGTAGAAGCCGTGCGCCTGTGACGTCAGGGAGCTACTGACCAATGGGGAGGCGCTGCCCTTTGGAGACAAACCATTCGACTCGTGGCGTCTGCATCAAGTCTGAAAGCAGACGCGCAACTTTCGCAGAATCCACCTTAAAATCTCTGCCTTAAACTGCACCAGCCCCCAAAAAATCCAAGGGGGGAAAGCAGGGGGGGAGAGCAGATTCCCCCCTCCCCCTCTCCTTCCATCCCTCCCCCTTCCTCCTCCCTTTGGGTTAACAAGGCCCGCTCACTATATCTCTTTATATTAAAAATATATATATATTAGAGAAGAGCGAGGGAGAAGGAGAACCACCTCCGCCCCCTCTCTAAAATTTATTTTATTTTATTTTATTTTATTTATTTTTATTTTTTTGCAAGGATCCCAAGAGCTAAGGTGGCTGCAGAGGGGAGAGCGGAGCGAGCCAAGTGGGGGAGGGTGGAGGAAACCCGGGAGAAGGCTTTCTCCAGCCCCCAAAGTTTTGATGATGACCATGACTACGATGGCTGACGGTTTGGAAGGCCAGGACTCGTCCAAATCCGCCTTCATGGAGTTCGGGCAGCAGCAGCAACAGCAACAGCAGCAGCAGCAGCAGCAGCAACAGCAGCAGCAGCCGCCGCCGCCGCCGCCGCCGCAGCCGCACTCGCAGCAGAGCTCCCCGGCCATGGCAGGCGCGCACTACCCTCTGCACTGCCTGCACTCGGCGGCAGCGGCGGCGGCGGCGGCCGGCTCACACCACCACCACCACCAGCACCACCACCACGGCTCGCCCTACGCATCGGGCGGAGGCAACTCCTACAACCACCGCTCGCTCGCCGCCTACCCCTACATGAGCCACTCGCAGCACAGCCCTTACCTCCAGTCCTACCACAACAGCAGCGCGGCCGCCCAGACGCGAGGGGACGACACAGGTGAGAGGCCGCTTGGGCAGCTCGCTTCTCCCGCCTCCCAACTGCCCCCACCCCGCCCGCCCCGTTTACTTCCTCAACGCCCGGGCCTCCGCCGGCCCCCTCCCCCAGGCGGCCCGGCGCGCCCCCAGTCGGGCCCCGTGCGCGCCCGCTAGCCTGGCGCCTGCCTGCCGGCCTCTCCCTGCCCGGCCCCTTTCCATCGCCGAGGACCCCCGGCTTCCTCGCGATGCGGCCCGCCTAGATCTCCAGCCTCCGGCGAACGATGCGGGCTGCGCCCCTGGCTCAGCTTAGGCTTTGCTCTACCTACAAGTCGATCCGCACTGCGCTCTCCCTCTGAGTCCGTGCGCCCTTTGCCTTGCTCCTTCCCTCTCGGCTGTAACCCGCGTTGGCCCGGACTGAGAACCCTTCCGGGCCACGACAGGGAGCGTGTTTTGTTTCCCAGTCCACACTGGGCAAACAGTGGCCTACTTTGCCCGGGTGCGTCTTGGCGGCTTGCAGGGAAGCTGGTGTGGCCTATGGCTCTGGTTAAACTAATGATTATTGGGATTTTTTTCCTGTGGGGTTTGAGGCGTCTCCCACCCCTAGCACTGTCTGGGCCCCTTTCCTCTGGCTTTTCGATACAATATTGGCCGCTCCTTTGTTCCTGGAGGCAAAGCAGACGGCCTCGGGTTGGCGGTTCTCAACACCCGAGGGGCCAAAGTTGTCGTGAGATTCGCAGGACTGGCCTAAGCACCTGGTTGTGTTTTGTTTGGAGGTTTGGTCCCTCTCAGCAGAATCATTTCGAACACGCCAAAGGAGCTTGGTACACCAGGCTTGAAGCTGGTGACATCAATTCAATTGACTAGGCAAATACCCGGGTGGCTCAAGCTACCCTCTGGTACTGTAAAGCCAGACCAATGAGTCCGGTTTGTCCCAGAGAGCAGACGCCTTGCAACGCCGCGCCGCGCGCCCTAGAAAGCGGCTGGCGCCGCTTCTGCAGCGGCGAGCGAGGCTGTTTGCCAAAGACCCTCGGGCGCTTATCGCTCACTCTTAGGGCCAGAGACAGAGCCTCTGGGTACACACCGGCAAAGGACCGGGAGCGGTTAAGGCGTGGAAGGGCTACTTCGAGGAAACCCTTATTAGGCAGGGGAGGGGGAGAAACCTGACATAGATCTTGCCACGCGCAGGGAGACGGCAGCAGTGGCCTCACGGGTGACCGCATCTTTGTATCATTTGCTTACAGATCAACAAAAAACTACAGTGATTGAAAACGGGGAAATCAGGTTCAATGGAAAAGGGAAAAAGATTCGGAAGCCTCGGACCATTTATTCCAGCCTGCAGCTGCAGGCTTTAAACCATCGCTTTCAGCAGACTCAGTACCTGGCCCTTCCCGAGAGAGCCGAACTGGCAGCTTCCTTAGGACTGACACAAACACAGGTAATTCCCGAGAAGCCCAAGTAACCCTGAAATGCTGGCCCCACTCGCAGATGGGGCAGGGAGCACATCAGGAAGAATTCTTGGCCTAGTCTACCAAGGATGGAAGGAGCTTAATGACAAATGCGTGCTTTCCTGGGATCACACAATTTGGAATAAATGACCTGGTATTGAATACTGGATTGGATTTGAACATCCACTCAAACCTCAGCGACCCCACCCCAGCCTAGCATCATTTGGTGACCAAACTCATAATTCAAGCAAATCCTATTCCAGAGCAGAACAACATGAAAGAGAACAATCATGTAGGAGAAAAATGTGTTAAGGCCAGAAGGCAAAACAAGGCCCACCTTTATTGAGAATTCTTTTGTGGGCCCTGAGAGCTAATGAGAATTTCAACTCATTGACATAGAAAGAAATTGTGAAGTGAAATGGGGTAGGGAAAGTCAGGTAGGCATAAGCTCCAGTGGCTCTCAGTGAGGGCACTAGTTTAGGAACTATTTATCCTAGGATAGGTGAGGTGGATTTTTCTGAAGATTACCCTCAGTTCATAGGTTAAATCATCCTGGGTGGCAAGCTAATGGTGGGTGATCCTGGACATGGAGGCAATAGCAGAGTTGAAGATCAACAAGAAATACACTCCAAATGATAGCAGTCGAAGCCACAGTTGCTGAAGTTCCCCACTTCTACTAATTTGAAAAACATATGGGATATTTCAGACTTTACAGGAAGGGGCTTGGGTGGGTATATTAGGATACTGGTCATAAAGTCAGACTGCAATCACCTGCAGTTTTTCCTGCCAACTAATTTAGTTGCATGGGGTGGTAGACCTCATCTGAGATGGGTGGCCTTTATTTAGCAAAGGAACTTCAGGTTGTATGAGACAATTGCTGGGGGGGGGCTAATAGTGTGGTACCTTAAGACAGATGCTCTTTAAACTCTTCTTTTTAGTTTAGCTTGCTTTCTCTTGCCCTGTTACCACTGAAAATATTTGATGTTTAAAATGAGAGGATCCCAGCTACTCAGTGACTTGTATTATTCTTGGGAAAGCAAATTCCATGAATTTTAAAGGTAAAGGAAGCTACACTATAGAATTTCCTTCTTCAAATAAGGTAGATCTGGAATATGGGATTAACAGTGCTTCCATTCCAGATTCCTGATTCACATTTAGTTTTGAGAAGCCTTTTACTTTTAGTAATTACAGTAACAATCATGTAATGATTGTTGACCACAGTTTCACTAAGCATCCCTCAAAGTAGGGAATAAGGGGGAGGTGCCATCTTTAATGCTGCAGGATTGTGAGAGTGTGTGTGTGTATATATATGTATATATATAATGCTTAAAACAGTCTATGGCATGTGTACTATATGCACAGGTATATATTTATTTGATTATAAAAGTATAGGCTTTAATGTGTTCATAGCCATTTGCTCACTGTACATGCATAGAGATGTTAGCTTTGGGGAGTGGTAAATATAAAATCAGAGAACTCCTTTTTAAAATCCTTCTTCATCAAACTTTGAATCTAGTTATCTCATTTATGTTCTTATTTTATTCTTATTTATGCCGTTGTTTTAAAACCAGGCTAGTACTCAACTCAAGAATCACAAGGAGTTTAGGTATATAGATATCTAGTAGGTTGAAGGGAGGAGGGATGGAGGAGGCTAGAAAGAGGTGGAAGGAGGCGGGGACTTGGCTTCTCCGTGTAATGGTGGGTGTTTTTGTTTTGTTTTGTTTTTAATATTGCTTTTGAGTCTGAAGTGAGGCTAGAGACTTCAGTTCAATGGTCTTCGGCCTAATGATTGCTGCATTTCTTCCAGGTGAAGATATGGTTTCAGAACAAGCGCTCTAAGTTTAAGAAACTGCTGAAGCAGGGCAGTAACCCTCACGAAAGCGATCCCCTCCCAGGCTCGGCAGCCCTGTCACCACGCTCACCAGCTCTGCCTCCAGTGTGGGACGTTTCAGCCTCAGCTAAGGGTGTCAGTATGCCTCCCAACAGCTACATGCCTGGCTATTCGCACTGGTACTCCTCACCACACCAGGACACGATGCAGAGACCACAGATGATGTGAGTTGTCTGAGGGGACATCCTAGGGGAACGTCTGAAAAAGGCAAGGAGGATCCAGGACCTGCTTGCATCTGCCAAACCAAGTCGAGGAAGCAGGCTCCAGATGGGGATGGCCAGAAGCTGTCTGGGCGCTCACTCATGTCTCTGTGTATGTGTGTCTCTCTCCCCCTCTTCCTCTCCTTTTCTCACTCTTTCCTTGTTTATCATCCCCCTTTTACCTTTTCTCCATTCTTTACCTCCCACCTTTTTTCCTTTTCCATTGCTGTCTTTTCCTTATCTACCTTCTTGAAGTAATCAATCTTACATATGAGAGAGAGAGAGAGAGAGAGAGAGAGAGAGAGAGAGAGAGAGAGAGAGAGAGAGA